CTCAAGCCATACTGAAGTTAATAATGTTTTTGGGATCTTGGTATCAAAAGGTCTAGAATCTAGTTTTTCATTTCTTTCCATCAAAAGTCATGTCTAAACCACCAGTTATTTTTTGCAGAAAATAAAAAATGAATCTGTCTGTGGAGATAAAGGTATATAGAAGACATAAGGACACAATGTTCAATTTATAGATGCACTAAATAGGAGCAAAGGTATGAAATGTTTCAGCAGCCATTACAGGGTCCAAACACAAATACGCACAGGTACTTACAACACAGATTAAGGCAAGATAAAAATGGGCAACTCTCACTTCCAAGTAACTACAACTTAAAACTTAAATTTTATGATGAATATTTGTAGCTTAATTACTCAACATGCAAGAGCATTCTTAAATATGAATATGACAAGCAGAAGCATTAGAATTGTGCTAGAAAAGATAGTTAAGGTGTAAAAATATATAATAAGGTATAGATCTCTGTCTTGTTATCATGCTGAATTTTCATCTGATTTTTCTTCTCAAAGAAGAAATGGATATATTTTTTAGGTTTCAACAAACATTAATAAAGGTCAAATTAGCCAGAGACAGAGCTATGCTAACAAAAATGCTCCACTCTTCATTCATGCCTCTGCCCATCTTTCAAATACTGTTCAATTGACCCTTAGCATGCAGAAGAGGTAATGAAACTCTGCTCCGCCTACTCTACCTAAGTTTGCTCAGCTGATTCCTGGCCCTCGACAATGGCTGCAGTGCGATGAACTCGTCACTTAAAGCAACTGTGTTGGAGTACATCTATAAGTGGACAGAAAAGGGATGGGACACACGACAAGTCAGTGAGCTGTATTCATCACCTAAGAGACAGACACAGGACAAGTTTTGTAAATACATCTGTTCCTACATGAGTAAGAAATATACATAATACACATATATGATTGACATAGGTAGGGCTGTTGGCTTTGCCACTAAAAGAATTTATTCTTGGCTCAGCACTTGTAGCTCAAGCAGCTAAGGCTCTAGCCACATACAACAGAGCTGGTGGTTTGAATCCAGCCCGGGCCTGCCAAACCATGACACTGCAACAAAAAAATCGCCAGGTGTTGTGGCTGGCACCTGTAGTCCCAGCTACTTGGGAGGCTGAGGTCAGAGAATTGCTTAAGCCCAAGAATTTGAGGTTGCTGTGAGCTGTGATGCCACAGCACTAACCAGGGTGACAGCTTGAGGCTCTGTCTCAAAATAAAAAAAAAAATAAAAAAGAATTTATTCTTTACACTTAATTCCACATTCTTATTCTGGAGAAAAACAGATCAGAATCAATACTGCCAGCTCTTCTTCTGATATGATCTTTCATGCTCCTTCTGGTAAACAGCAAGTAGCTAAGTTTCTAGTCATTTCCCCATTATTTGAAGTCAAAGTGATGGGATAAAGCTGAAATAATGATTCCTGCCTATACCAAAGGAACAATGTCACATAAGGGATTCAAATGACCATATACTATTTCAGTAAAAAAGGAAAAACAAAACTGACAACAAAAAACCACCTGAGAAGTCTAGAGATATCCTGTGGAAGTGGAGATTTCCTTCTTGGATCAGACCACTTAAAGCATATAGTTGTCATTTAGAAATGAATTTGGTGAGCCAAAAAGAAAGATTATAATGGCTTTCACACATAGACAAAAGGACTGATTTACTGTACATTCCTTTCTTTTTTTAGAGTCTCAAGCTGTCACCCTAGATAGAGTGC